TTCAGTTATTTTCTGTTTTCTGAAAAACACCTTCTTTTACGTTTTCAGTGCTAAAACGAGGTTGTCTTTGAGGCAGATAGCTGAAAAGTTGAAACTTTTAAGTCATTCTGTAAATTTAATCTAGGTCTGTTTCGCATTTTCCGAAGTGATCAGAAACTTGACAGCCTAGCTCCAGGCTCCTGAAAACGGCCAGAAATCAACTGAAAAACGCGGTTTTGTACATTTTAATGAATATATAGGCAGACTACCTTATTCTCCTTTTGATCTTCAATTATTTTTTGGAATTCGGAAGCCTAAAAAAGAATATGAATAGAAGGAAAATTGTCTATTCTAATTTTCAACTCACAAGCTTTGAATGACGTGCTGCGCTTTCAAGAGAGCCAGAGTTCCCAGTCACAGCGACTTGCATTTCTGATGGATATTGCGAAATACTAGTTCAGCTTGAATACGAGCTCACGCTCCAAAATTGAGCAAATGAAAAGTCAGTTGATATCTTGTCACTTTTATATTCGTTTCGTTGGCATTTGATGTAAATGACCTCGGTTTTCAGTTGAAAATGGCATTTGAACCATCTATAATTTTTTGAAAAAAAGACACATAATGATAGAGAATAGATAGTTGTAGTAGTAAACAGGTTTCTCAGAAAACTAGAGCAACTATATGAGCGAAATTCCAAATTGCGTGAGATTTTTTTCAGGAAACGACCTTTTTTGGAAGTCTGACGCAGGTAGCATAAATTTTCCAGAAATCATTGTCTGATGAAATTGAAACCGTTTATGTTTCCAAAATTTGGGCAGCACCAGAAATATTCCGAAAGGTCTCCAAACTTTGAGCTCAGTTATCTCATTTCCTGTAAACGTTGTCAAAAAGTTGTCAACTGATGAATTATTCATCTTGATATCAGTAATTATTTTATCAGTAAATGGATTTTCGATGTCATTCACAGGAATCGGAATAATTGATCTTCAATTTGACGGATTTTCTCGAGTTCAATCAATTTTTAAATTTAGGTCCCAACACAAAAAATGACCATAATAGTACCAGAAACTGATATCTGAACCGTTTGAGTCGATTCCATTATTTTGAACGAAAATAATTTTTCAGTATTATGGTATGTCGTCGCGCCCAGGAGAGGGCGTGGCCTATGAGTAACATGGTCAAAAGTCTTAGAGTAGCCCCTATACCCACTACATACAACTTCAGTTCTAGGACCATTTTTAATTTTTTCCATTGCCATCGCCTCTTGACTCGATTTCGATTCTCTCAGAGAATGTGTCTCAAATACATAAGTACGTTACATTTGTATGGAATTTGAAAAAATGTTTTCTTAGAAAAAAATCTATTCGAGAAACAAGCATTTTTATTGCACAAAAAAGGAGAAAGACTTATCCGTAACAAAAAAAAAGTCACACACCCGAAACATGAAAACAAATTGCTCAACGTTACAGTAACCAGAAATATCACAATTCAGCTCAAGCACGTAAAAAATTTGTCCAGAATCCACCTTTTGATAATATTGCTTCTTGACTTGGATGACTTCAACTTTTTGTTCTTGATGATCGGTCCTTGGAACTCGAATCCAGCAAACGGATCGGCTTCTTGATTAGAGTTTTCATCAAGTTCTGCAGTTTCACATGACGGATCTTCCGGTGCCATCTCAGTAAAAAAAACATCGAATTGAGAAACATCTTCATTGCTCTCAAGAAGTGGTTGAAACGGAGGTTTAATCTGACGAGCTTTCAGTTTTTCCCAATCCATTGGCTCGAAGAAAGCCGTTTCCTTAATATCAGGAATGGTAATTCTCCTGAGAGGCGCTCGTGTGATTAGCCCTTTGATTACGTCTCTTGCTTCAAGAGAAATGTGAATCGGCATTCCGATTTTTCCATGCAAAATATGTTGTGCCAACTCCTGTTTAGTCCTTCCATAAAACGGTGGTCCACCAGCAAGCATATCAAACATCAAAATTCCAAGAGCCCAAATGTCGGCTGGGTGCCCGTAAGGTGATCTTCTGATTATTTCTGGAGCCATAAATTCCATAGTTCCACAAAGTGTTGTTGTGTAACCTCCTTTCGGCACATTTGACTTGCTGAGCCCAAAATCGATCAATTTACTGTGTCCGTTCTTATCGAACATAATATTCTCTGGTTTTAGGTCACGGTAGATAACATCATTCTTGTGAAGGTATTCTAACGCGAGAACTATCTCAGCTATGTAGAATCTTGTAGTTTCCTCATCCAATTTCTTTTTCTTGTTGAGATATGTAAACATCTCACCTCCGGATAGAAACTCCAAGACGAGATATGCCTTCTGATCGTTTTCGAAACTGTGATGCATTACACAGAGGAATGGATTTTTGACAGTTGCCATAATTTTCTTCTCCTGGGCAAGATGGACCGGGTCAAATGCCTTTGTAGTTTTGGTGACGACCTTCATTGCATACACACCACCGTCGGTCTTCTGTCGTACTTGGTAGACCTAAAAAAATACGAATTTTTGAAAAGTAAGGGTTTGTACTTATTGGTGGATTAATCATTTTTTTAAAATAACTGGGTTTTTTTGCCGAAAATTTGCATTAACGTATTTTCTCTAATAAATGCTTACAACATACTTAAACTTTGAGCTCAATTATCTTCACTTCTTCAGAAGATATTAAAAATTGCGCAATTGAAAAAGGTTTATCATAACATTATCTATATTTTATCAGTTGACAGATTTTTCTCATTTTTCATAGAAACCGAGATAATTCAGCTCAAAGTGCACGTATAATCGGTCACCCGTTAGAGCAAATACAAAAACAGTTTTTAAAAAATAAACTCACATTTCCATAGCCACCTCTTCCGACGAGTTTGAGAATATCCAAATTTTCCGGCAATAAACGATCCAAATCATTCGCTATGGTGCTTTTTCGCGGTACTGGATTCATTCTGGTTTAACTACTGAAAATTTTATAAACCGTCTATATAGAACATTTGAGAAGACAAGAGAGCAAATTGGAGGCGGATGAGTGACAGAATTAAGATATTCAAAAAATCTTATATTTGAAAGAAATATCAGAAAGAAGAAAGAAGAAAGAAATTAAAATTTGAAAAAGTACTCAAGTGAGTATAGAAACTAAGAAATTCAGAAGTCGACAAATTTAAAAATTCAGAAATTCTCGAAAGTAAAGAATATCAGAAGTTTAGAAAATATAGAACTCTGAAGCTCTAAAAAAAAAGAACTTGTCAATGGATTTGTCAATTTATCCAATGAACTAGAGCCCAGAATAATAGTTAAATCTACCGAAGGGAGGTGGATGAGAGAACGATTAGTATAGAAACCATCGAAAAAGTAATATGGATGCTATCGCGTCTTATCAGTTACTGTATTATGGCAAACAACTGCTAGCGAAGAGACTCTGGTTCTTTTTTTAGATAACTGATAAAAATTGAGTTCGATTATATAGATAAGATGACCAGTTCAAAGTACGATTTTTGGAATCATAATGGTCATTTTTTCCAGCTTTTCGGAACTTTAAATTACGGCATCGCTTAATTCTGTTTATTTTTATTTCTCTCTGAGCTCCTCGGAAATGAATATTTTGAGTCAATTTACAATACCGCTCAATAAAATGTTTGAAGAAGCGTGTTTTTCAGTTAATTTTGACAGTAGTTTTAAAAGGACTTGACAAGCTCGGCTGTCAAGTTTCTTCAAAATTTAAGAAAATGTAAAACATATCTAATTTGAAAACTTTGCATTCACATAGTTTTTTTTTAATTCTCATTTTTCCGCTTTTTGCCGATTTCTAAAAGACCTTTTCTTTAGGTCCGTTCTGTACTGGAAACGTGAAGAAAACAAAATCAGCGAATGTCTGAAAAACTAGGAATTTCCCGAGAATTCTGTGAATGCAGAGTTTTGAATCTAGGTTTGTTTTACATTCTTTATAACTTTCAAAGTGATCGAAAACATGACAGCCGTGGTCCAGATTTTCACTATTGGCCGAGCTGACCGAAAATCCACTAAAAATTATGTTTTTGTGTATTTTATTGACCGGCACTGTATCCAGTCTTGTAGTAATAATTATCCGGCTTTGAAATAATAAAACAGTCGCAACTAATGATATCGTTTATCATTTTCTAGAAATCTTGTAAAAATCGTAGCTTTGGAACACGTTTATTGAAATTTTTCCTTGAACTTTACACCTGCATTATTGCTTTTTTCCACATTTTTCAAACAATAAAGATTCAGTTCACATCAATTTTCAAAAATGAAATAAGAGACCTACACAAAATGCTGAATGTGAGATACAAATCGGGATTTTTAGCGTTTTTCAAATGTTGCGATTGAAAAAAAAAGCATCAAGCTAGTCGAAATTCTCCAGAAACTATGTAAAAAAGATCTTCATATCCAAAGAATAATAGATGCCTACGTGTAACCAAAAGAAAACAAAAGAGAAGGTCAGCTAGTCTTCGCAACTAAAGGACAACGGCAGAATGATGAACGCATTCGGTCTCTCATCTCGATAGGTGACCGACAGTTTATTTGAGGTAAGAGAGTAGAGGAAATGAAGAGCACCCAGAGGAACGGGTCAGTACAACGGACTATCAAGAGGGAGAGGATGTGTGCGCCTTATGGTCCTTCATCAATCTGCTGGTGAGAGGACAAGCGATGTATCGAGGGCAGTTGTTGCAAAGACAAGGCTGACGGGTGGTGGATAGCAAGCCATGAGATTAATGAAGACGTGGTGGGAAAGATATTCAATTGAGACGGCTCAGAATTTTCGTAATTGAAAAAGACAAATAATTTGAGCATGGCAAAAAAGCGTTGTTTACCAAAACAGGGTCAATTTTTTTTCCGATAGAAGCGCTTTCAGAATAGTGATAAGAACAGAATTGTACGATTCGGGTAGCGAGTTCTATGATTTTATTAGAAAAAGTGTTTTTAGAAAAAAAAGCAGGAAAAACTCTGGGAGACAATACTGCAAAACTATGGGGTTATGATATTAAAGGAAGAAAAAAAATCCGGTTTGACATATTTACAGATATTATTTCACACAACAACTAGCACAAATACTTCGAACTACAAAATAAGAAAATGAAAGACATCAATGATCATTTTGAGAGGCAGAAAGTTCGAAGGGTATAAACATTTTGGGGTCGTTGGGGTACAAATCGATTTAAAAAGAAAAAAAAGATCGAGGGTGCAAAATATTTGAAAAATTCAAATTTCGCACACCCACATGGTGGATTTTTTACCCCTAAATTGCTTTGTAGCCCGCCGTACACCCAAATTTTCGCATCTTCAGAATTAAGTGCCTTTTCGAGATATGTTTTATTCCTGCTCCATTTTGATTTCAGTTTTGATCTCTGACTTGATTTCTGCATTGTATTGGATGGTAGATTCCCTTGGAGAGTAGGGCTCCGACTTGATCGGTTCAGCCTTGATTTCCATCATTTCAGACTTGATTTCCGGCTCAACCTTGAGTTCACCAGTGGGATCGATCGAGAGGAACTTGGCCAATTTATCTTCTTGCTTCATTAGTCGTCTTTTTTCTCTTCCGATGCGAACACGTTGGTTATTCAGCTCAACAGGTGCGAAATCGAAATCCACCTGGTACGAGGTATCCCCTTGCTGCAAAAAGCCAAATTTTTATTAGGAAAACTTAAACCTTCCTTTTAAGCTAAATTATCTCAACTTCTATAAGAGATATCAAAAATGTGTGCACTAATAAAATGTAGGTGGTATTATGGTAAAATTTTAATTAGTTGACACATTTTTGCTATCTCTCATAGAAATTTAGATAATTGAGCTCGAACCTCAAAGTCTTACCTGGAGGTCAATTTGAACGATTTTCTGCTCGACATTAGTTTTTTCAATGTGAGCTCTGTCCAGGTAGATCTTCATGTTCTTCAACGAAACAAAAGAAGCTAGAGGAGAATTGAAGTGAACTTTCAAAACGGCATTCTCATTTTCAAACTTTCTGAAAATATTAAAGTTGGAGGAACATGTGAAACTGTACAAAATCATTTACCTTTTGACGAAGCACTGCTTTATTTGTGTTTCAAACGAATCTTGAAGGTAAGAAACAGCGTTCTCGCGTCCGCTCTCGATTTTAAACATTTCGATGCTCTCGTATTCATATCTGTCGCTTTCATTGAGATGAGTTGTGACAAAATGATTCAGCAATGCAGAGCGATTAGCAACATCTGTTCCGCATTTTGTGCAGTAGAGAGATGGGATCTGGAAAAGGAAGTTTCTTGATGATTCTGTTTTTCCCAGGCATTTTCAGAGTTTCCTTGACCCGGCCCGACCCGACCCGACCGTTTTGGTCCGGGTTTCCAATAATTTTCTTCCGCTATTTTCAAAAAGTTTTCAGAGTCAATAAAACATATAAACAACATTTCTACAGAAGAAAACGTATGGTGAAAAATCAGTGACTTTAGAAATTGATTTTTCAAAAATTTCCTTCAATAGAGCCCACCCAAACCATCAACTTTAAGCTCAATTATCTCTTTTCCTGAAAGAGATATAAGAAATTTGTAAACTGATAAATTATTCATCATAATATCACCAAAATTTTATCAGTTAACAAAAGTTTTGATAACTTACACTGAAATCGAGATAATTCAGCTCAAAGTTCACGGATTGGGTTTGCTTCTATTACAAGAAATGTGGTAAATGTGTCTTTCAAATGTGAGAACACGGGCCCATGGGGCCGGGCTGAGCTGGATCCTGACTTTTCAAGCATAGTCTTTTATTTCTAATTATCAAACACTCACCTCATGCTCCACTCCATCTTTCATGGTGGAATCTTCGGAAAGCTCTTCGATGATGAGATCTTTATAATTATCCGCCAAAACATCCAAAAAAGCTGTCAACGAGTGATTTTTATAGGTTGCTCTGTGATAAACGAAAGGTCTCGCGCATGGAGTTGGTTCCTTTTTGATGAAAGACGAACTTGATGCGTCCGAGCAAAAAGACGGGATCTCTTCTTTGGGTTCAATCATCTCTGAAAATCGGCTATTCATTTTTAAGTAAGATGCCTTATAGGAGCAAAACGAAGCTGAATAATAAAAACACAAGTAGGTGAGAGAACATAAAGATCCGCTATCTGACTGATACAAAAACAACAATTACTAAGAACATGCCCAAAATTACAATTTCTCTTATGTTCCACTACTTTGAACAATATTAGAACACTATACAAGTGTTTTACATCTGAAACATCCCAAGTGTCAACAAAAAGAAAAAAACTCGGCCCTCTGTCTCTACTCGTCTCGTTTACTTCATTATATCACAGCGGTGGTGGTAGTAGTGGTTTCCTTTTTCCATGGGAAGAGGATGTCGCTTGTGTGCGTGTGCGTTTGCTTTTCTCTGCTATCTCACCTACCTCTTCCCCCGCGTATATATTTGCAAACAGTGGGGAGGGGAGTGTCAGCCCGTATAGCTCAGTGGCAGAGCGTCTGTCTCGTAAACAGAAGGTCGGCGGTTCAATCCCGCCTGGGGGCAATGCTTTTTGTTTTTCAAAACAGTGATTTTGAATTAGTTTTCGGATAGAGAAATGTACAAAAACTAATAATTTCTCAATTAGCGCATTCAAAATTATCATTAGCATGGGAATTTTTACTTTCGGGGTTCAAGATTTTTTTCAACTGCAAAAAAATGAAAAAAGTTGGATTTGAAAATTTTAAAAATCGTTTCTTTAATTTTTTTGAACTAAAAAACAGGGTTTTCGAAAAAAAAAGAAATAAATTTTGAATGAAAATGAAGTTAAAAACTAAATTATTAGCAAAAATTGGTACGACGCAGAATCTGACGTCACGTGTCTGGCCGAAAAATGAAGAAAACTCGGCCACGAAGAGAGAATTACAATGTAAGAGAGACGAGAAAGAAAAAGATGTCATGTAACAGCAAGCTGACAATGCAACAGTTTCTCATGAATGGTGAAATAAATTTTATAGGAAATTTGAAAAATTAATATTTCTATGAAAAATGAAGCTGGGAAAATACATGAAAGACGAGCTTCTCATGTGCAAAATACAAGTTTGGGACTCATTCAAGACGGGAACAGAGAAAACAAAGAAAAAAATCAGTTTGTGTGCTCTCTTGGGTGCCTGCGCTGCTTTGCGTTAGAGCGCAATTGTATACTACGGACATTTCTAATTTCTGGTAAGAATGGTTTGAGGTAAAATCATCAAGCAAAATACTTAATCGAAATTACACTGAAGTAACTAGTTTTGCAGTTTTTAGACTGGTCTCTGATTTTTTCACTACATTTAGACAAATTTCTTGGTTTAAGCGATTTGTTGACAAAAATTATTGAGAATAATTATTTAAGCTGCTAATAAAACATTATCTGAACTAAATGAAACATTTTAGGGCAGATAAAAAAGCTGGGAATCTAGAGAATCGTCAATGTGTGTGAACATGTCAATGAAACTTACTAAAGAAGCTGAAATTAAAGAAAGAAACGGAAAAAATTAATAAAAGGCCAAAATTGATAACGAGGGAGAAATGTGATAGTATCGAAGAAAGTAGTTCTGTGACAATATTCAAACAACTTGAAACATTGAATCCATCCCAAAACCCTGCGCAACGTTATGCTGACTCGCGAGGCTACTACGTCTGCGCGACTCGATCGATAAAACAATACTGACGGGACCACAACACTGCCGCACGATCAAGAAGGAAGGGACCAAGACACTGCCGCACAATCAAGAACGACTCGTTCGCACTGTCTGCGCACTCTATGTGGTACGCAATATTTCGTCTTTTGTTTTCTTAAAACTATGAAAGACATCACTCACTAATGAATTCATGGGACATATGGGAACAACTCCAGAAAGTGTTTTAGAGTCAGGACAGAGATGATTCAGATGTGTTTTTTCTTTTTCAATGGTAATTTTATGATTGTTGAGGTGTTCTCTATTTCATGTGGTGAGTAGTATCTATGAATCGAAGAGACCAGTGATAAATACCAATTCAGACGCTCAAAGTCAACTTATATATGTATGAATCGAAAATGTTATGTTCATTAGGGCCTTCAATGTTTGGTCATTACTGTAGAAATTTGTTGTTTTACCTGCATTCGCTTGAAGGAGGAGGTCACGGAAAACCGGGAGAATTGAAACAGCTCACGGCTTGTGAGAGTTTTTAGAACGGTATCGACACTGAAAAAGCTTTCAGACTACAGGGCAAGAAGAACACGTTTTAATTCTGACAATGATGGCCCCAACCAATTGTTAAAGAGAGCAGAGGTCGATTCGACTCTCTGGACGTGACGTGCGCAAGTGGGAACATTTTTAAGTTTCGTTGGAGGTTGCGGTAGAGCAACATGAGATCAGTAAAACGTGGAGCAGAACCTATAGCTACTGAACATTACAAAATTATCTGATTTGTTACTCACTTTAACGTCTTCCTCTCTCTCCCAAACTTCCCAATCTATATCTTTTCCCTCTCACCATCCCCACTACTATCTTTTCCACATTCAAAATCCACTTTATTTTTTATTTAAAAAATCCGAAAACACTCAATTCATACAAAACCAAATTTATCAATTATCATTTATCAGCATCAAAAACAACAACAGCAATCGACAATGTGAGCATCAGGAGCATTTCCACATGATTCACAAGCATGCGGTCCGGCAAGAGAAGGAACCAAGTAGTTTTCTCGGTAATGACGCGCTGCTCCTGGAGTTCCAAATCTCACCGGCTCCTCAACGCGGCAGTTCTTCCAGCACATGGCGAGAGCCAAAACACCGAAAACAGCGAAGAGGATGAACAGAAGCGAGAATCTTTGGAAAACGTTTCTCGTCGGTTCGACACTCAGAAAAATCTTTCCGGTGGTTGGTCCTGTCGTTGTGATGTGGATTTCGAAACTGAAACACAGTGACAAATGTATTAGGGCGAGCGTGTTTATAAAACCTACTTTTCGTTCTTGGGGTCCTCAGAACAGGTAAGTGTGGTGAGCGAACGAATTTTCTTGACCAGCTCCGGGCTCAACAGAGTTGTATCCTTTTCCGATGGCGTCAGGCGTTCTTGAAGTATCATACTGCATTTTCCAAAGGAGATTTTCACCGGAGAGCTGACGTCAGTGATCACAAAGATGGACATTCCAGAAGATTCTAGAAAAGGTAATATTTTCGCAGTAAATGACTCAAATGTTTGACACATATTATTCTTTTGCGGCCGAGATGAAGCTTGTGGCCAAAAATTTGTTTAAGGGCGCATCGTCGGCCCTGAAGCAATAGCAGCTACGGTTTTCACGAACAAGTTTTGTGCCTCTGATAAATTTACTCGAAATTCTTTGTTTGCATGTTTCCCTCAGCTTTTTGCTTGTTTTCGTTTTTTTTCGATCCTCGTGAATCATCATCTGAATTTTTTTATAAAGTAGAAAAACAACCAAAAATGGGTCTTTTTCGAAGTACTGTATGAAAGACGCATGACTGTATCTGTGAAAACCGCAACTGTTTCTGCTTCAGGACCAACGATAGGCCTTGAAATAAATTTTCGGCCGCAAGGTTCTTCGCCGCCGGACACAACTGATAACTCACCTTCGGTGAGATTATCGGCGATTTTTGCATTGTAGACGAGACGGACACTGGACTTGGACTCCACCACAAATGGACCAAGGAAGCTGTCGTGGATGGTGGCTCGTTGACGAAATCCAAGGGAGAAGATGAACTTTCCTTTTGACATCCGTTTTCGGTTTGAGTAGAGCACAAGTTCCAATCTATAAAACGAGCAGATTCGGAATAAAATCGGGGCTCCACTGAAATTTTGGTCCTTGAAAAAGTCCATAACATTTTATTGGTTCTAAAAATAATTTTGGTTCTCAAAAGGGTTCACAGTTTTATGGATACTTCTGGATAATTGTTGCATTTCAGTTCAATTATGAAGTTTGGTCGAAAATATTCACCTACCCACGGGGGGTGTCTTCAGTGCCATTACACTTTTTGGTAGAGTGTTCGATAAGGAGATCAACGTATCTTCCGTAAAACTCCATAGTCCTGGATTGCATCTCGGTCCAAGTTGAGATGAGGACGCTGTCACACTTTGTCACTTCAAATCCGAAAACCGTGTTTGCGTAGAAAGCCATCTTTACTGGGCGATCCTGTCTTTGAGCTAAAATTAAAAATAAGTTATATTAGAAATTTTTTCGATCAATATTTACCTTGACGAAGGATGTCCGTGATGTCCATGTGCATGACATAGTTGCCTCTGATCCCTTGGAACTCGACCACCTGGGCATCCTTGAAGCCAGCCTCGACACCAGAGAGGAAGACATAAATGATGATGAAGCGAATTGAGAGCCAAAGGCCCATAGTGCCCACGAGGCTCTGGAATTTCAGTCTCATTGAATCGACGACAAATGAAATGAATAAATTTTTCAGTCACAATGGACGGGAATAGGGGCGTGTCTGGTGAAATGGAGGCGGGATTGGTTTCTGAATCATCAGCTTATGAGACATGATTGTTGATCGAAAACAATAACAATTTCATGTAAATCGTATCAATTGTTTCGAAATCTGGGAACGGAGAGGAATGGTATTTTTGATTAATAATCCGTGGCTAACTATGTAGGGTTAGAGAAAGTTATATGTTGCTCGAGAAAGACTGCTCTGTGCAGGAAGTAAAATTTTGAAAACACTTTTTTGCTTCACAAGAAATGGTCAGGTGCGATGTGCAAACGAGTATTAATTTTAAAAATTGAGAAGAAGAATTGGTGATAATCAGCTAATTAGCACACCTCATCATTGAGCTGTACAAGGTATTTTTCCTATTAAGACCCATTTCAGTCAAATTTTAGAAAAAGTTTTGAATTTTGAGGGGTTTTAATGATCAGCAAACCCTATTTTGCTTTTCGGGAAATGGACCTGGTCATACAGCTTCACAACGCATTTTTCCTGTTCAAGATCTATTTCGTACAATTTTATGAACAAATACTAATTTGTCATCTACTCATTCTCTCTAACGTCATCAAGTTGACGACAAATGATATAAATAAATGTTTCAGTAAAAATTGAAGGGAATAGGGGCGGATCTAGGGGCGGATCTGAACTGGCGGCGGGATTGGTTTCTGAGTCATCAGCTCATGAGACATGATTGTTGATCGAAAACAATAACAATTTCATGTAAATCGAATCAATTGTTTCGAAATCTGGGAACGGAGAGGAATGGTATTTTTGATTAATAATCCGTGGCTAACTATGTAGGGTTAGAGAAAGTTATATGTTGCTCTAGAAAGACTGCTCTGTGCAGGAAGTAAAATTTTGAGCTCTAGAGGTCTTAAGGTAGTTTTTTTATTCAATGATTAGTGTTTTTTTCTCTACAAGAGTTGGTCAGGTACGATATGTGCACTACTTTGAATTTTAGTAATTGAAAAAATAAATTGGGGATCATCAGCCAATAATCGGACCTGACCACAACTTGTGGGACCATTTTGATAGAATTTGTCCAACAAATGGTCAATTATTATGAATTTTGACGGAATCGGATGATCAGAAAGACCTTTTTGGGGGAAACGGTTTGGTCAAATGCGATGTGTGCATTTATATAATTTTTAGTCATTAGAAAAGAAAATTGGAGAGCCTCAGGCAATAACCAGACCTGATCTACCAGCTTCAGAAGGCATTTCTCCAATCGACAACTTTGGTCGAATTTCACACAACATTTTGGCATTTTAACGAAAATCACAACAATACAGAAATGATGATGAGGCGAATTGAGAGCCAAAAGCTCATAGTGCCCACGAGGCTCTGGATTTTCAGTCTCATTGAATCGACGACAAATGATATGAATAAATTTTTCAGTCACAATGGACGGTAATAGGGGCGTGTCTAGTGAACTGGCGGCGGGATTGATTTCTGAGTCATCAGCTTATGAGACATGATTGTTGATCGAAAACAATAACAATTTCATGTGAATCGTATCAATTGTTTCGAAATCTGGGAATAAACGAAAATGAGAATTTTCAATAATGGGAGTGGCTAATTATGGCGACTCTAAAGGGATAATTCGTCGCTCGAGGAAGACTGGTCGGTGCAAAAAACTTGATTTTGAGTAGATATCTTACGGTAGTTTTTTATTTCGATTAGTGTTTTTTCTCGACAAGGATTGGTCAGGAACGATGTGTGCACTACTATAAATTTCGGTATTCAAAAATAAAAATTGATGATCAGAGAGACCTTTTTGGCAAAAACTGTTTAGTCAGGTACCATGTCTACACCTATATAACTTTAGTCATTAAAAGAGAAAATTGACGGTCCTCGGGCAAGAACCAGACCTGATCTATCCGATTCAAAAGGCACTTCTATGGACCAATTTGGTCAAAATTAATTTTAAAAAATGGGTTTTTGACGGAAACTGCTGACCAGAAAACGCTTTTTAGCTCTTCAAGAAATGGTCAGGCACGATGTGTAAACTAGTATTAATTTTAGAACTTGAGAAGAAGAGTTTGTGATAATAAGCTTACAAGGGAAGTGTTTTCAGACGGGGGTTGAGCATTTGTTGAAAATTTTAGTACTTGTAGTTTGAGACATCCTCTACACGATGTCAGAAATATCTCGTCCCCGGATTCACCAGGAAGCTGAAAATCTTGGTCTGAATATTCTCTCCCAATCTCGGCGCGCATTTTCCCTCCTCTCCTATACGCCTTCCGCGCCAGAGGACAATGTCGGTTGTGTGGTGTTGTGGTAAGAGGGTGAGTCATTAGGAGTGAACATGCTGGTTCGAACCCCACTGTGGGTAACCTTTTTTTGCTCTTTTCGAAACGTATATTTTATTCCCAGTTTGGCCCACTAGACACTTTGTGACACTTATTTCATGAAATTACAAGGTATTCAAAGCAAAAAAGAGACTTTATGAGAACTTGATGAAAAATTTAAAGGAGGATTCCGGGCAAATGACTTTGTGCTTAAATCGATGCAAAATATGGGCTTATTTCCGAAAATCACAATAAAAACGCTCAAAAAAATTTCCTGTAACCACAAAACGCCGTCAAACAGGCCGCCAGAATAAAAGTTATCCCTTAGGGACTAGTTTTTTTGAAAACTCGGCCACCGGCGCCGCCTCGTCCACGCCCTCCGCGGCCATCGATTTTATTGACATTTTTCAATGAATTTTGGTCGTTTTTCATGTTTTTTTCGAATATTGATGATATTTATTGAGAAAAAATCATAAAAAATGAACCGGAAAAGATAATTATACCAGATTTCAGCAATAATAGCGTTAGAAACAAACGGAAAATAACAAAACACTGGGAAAAAGAGAAGAGAGAAAGAAAGAGAGAACTGGGAGCTTCAGATCATGTCATCGTCAGACGAAGAATAGTTATTAGGAGAAGAATAATCATCAGTCATGTGATTTGGGTCGGGAGAAACCGATAGGGGAACGTTATGAGTAGAGGCCTGGGTTTGGTGGGATCTAACCCCTTCTAGAACAACTCGACGCCAAGAATGAGATCCCGACGACTTCCTTTTTTTGAAAACTGCTTCCTTGTTTGATTTGTTGTAGAATGATTTTAGCCCAGTATAGTGTCTCTCATTGTTATACCATTCTATTTTGAGAGAGTTCCAGTGAAGTACGGTCAACTGAACGCGGAGAGGGAAGTTTTTGTGGCTAGAATATTATTATTCAAATTTTCTAGCTCTGTAGGACTCACAAGTAATAGCTTTTTGGGTGATAAATAGTGGACAACGAATTGAAACTTTCTACTTCAGAGGTATTGAAGTGAGGTGATACTTTTTCTAGATCTTTCAGTCGTTTGTCACTAACAATCATATTCCACAACAGTCGCAACGCCTTCTCATGCTTTGGATTGTTCACGTCAATGTAGTCGTTTCTGGTGTGGTTCATTGGGTCGTGCTCACATTTCCGGAACTTGTTAAACACAAATCCGTTAATTTGCTGTAATTGTAGTTCTCAAAGCGTGTTTCCCTACTTATTCTTACTGTAAAATTTTCGTGCATGTTTTGACAATGACAGAAAAACGAAATGAATTTCTCTACAGTCAATTTACCATCTCCCCCCGAGGTGGCAAAAGAATGGTGAAGATGATTTGTGAGTGGGCGAATCCAATTTTTGACTGGCTGCATTTGAACTTGATTTTTCTTCTAAAAACGTACAAAGTTTTCGCACTACTGCGAAATTAGTTCTCCTAGGAATTCCTGAAAACCTCACTTTCCAGATGATTTTCTTGACATTTCTCACAAAGTGCCAACCATCGTAAAACTGCCGGATTCCGGAGTACTTTGTGTTGAGCAACTTTCCGACTGCCGGATCACGGTCGGTGGTGATAGAATCAATATGAACCAGTTCAGAACCATCTGGGGCTGTGAGAGAACTCATTAGATTCGAGAGTGCCAAATCCAAAGATTTGGGCTCCAGACTCTTCGACGACTCTGATAAAACAAACATAAACAAGAGAAACCCGAAACACTAAATTGCCTGTTCTCGATGACTTCTTCAACAGTTTTGTCTCCAGTACAAAATTCGTAGACACGTCCAACAACGCATATCGAGAATGTTCTGCCATATGGCCGGGCGAATCAAATTGTGCGTCACCAGCCAAGTCCAGTCCCTTCTGATTATCCTCACAGTTTTTGATCACAAAGTCCATCACTTTCTTCTGAGTATCATCATGAACGTTTTGGACTACAGGTCGGACGTGATGCTGCACAATGTCATAGTAACAAGATTTACGTAAATAAGGTGCACGGACAGTGTGGAGCATTGAAGCTATTTTCTGAAATCTACTAATTCTAAGCCTTTCTCAGCTTTAGATAACAGACTGAATACGAGGATCCGGTGGAAACCGCTGCGCTAACAAGATCTCGATTTACAACATATTCCTTTGATCTTTCGATAATTCTTGATGAAGACCATTTCCAATCATGATTGCAAGATAGACAGTTGAAAGAGATTTAGCAAAAATTGTTTTCTAATAGAAAGCTCACGACTCACAGAGACTGCATATCCGGATGGCTTCAAAACAGCCGCTTCTACAGCTTCAGAGTGACATTGACGACAATATTTGAGACTGTCAATCAAACAATTCAAATCAACAAATGCATACTCTTAATTGCCACTTGTCTCGTCCTCTTCCACCTCACTGTCATCAGACCAAGATTCCTCACTTTCCGGCACAAAACTACTGTCCGTTTCCTGTTCACTATAACTCTCCTCCGAATCTTCTCCATCTTCCTCCCCATCAGTGTTCAAAAGTACAAACGATTCCTCGTTATCAGCAACTCTTGAATCTTCAATTATCTCGAAACCGTTATCACCTTCGGAGAAATCTAAATTAGATGTATCAGCAACATCACCATCAGCAGCGAGTCTAGGAAGCGAATATACAGATCTTCTTCCATGAACTTCTCCGGATGGGAAGTGAGAACGACAAATGTAGGCTCGTCGAGTTCCGACTTTCTCCAATTGATTCCTGAATCCTTCTCCCAACGCCTCAATCCACTTTTCTCTTCCTGTTTTGCTCGAAGTGATAACAGTCGACTCCTTCCACGGAACCATAGCCCAACAGAACTGACAACGACGTCTTTTTCCTTCCGACGTTTTAATTACTACAATTTTTCAGATGAATTCTCTCTAATTCTCATATTCAGACTCTTCGGTTCTCACCAGCTATCATAATTTTATTATATTTGTACACTTCAAATGAATACAGCTTTGAAAAATGATTTATTTTGAAGCAGACAACGAATATGAGAAAAAAAAAATAACAAGAACAAACCACACATCAGCCATTATTGCTGAAATCTGGTATAATTATCTTTTCCGGTTCATTTTTTATGATTTTTTCTCAATAAATATCATCAATATTCGAAAAAAACATGAAAAACGACCAAAATTCATTGAAAAATGTCAATAAAATCGATGGCCGCGGAGGGCGTGGACGAGGCGGCGCCGGTGGCCGAGTTTTCAAAAAAACTAGTCCCTAAGGGATAACTTTTATTCTGGCGGCCTGTTTGACGGCGTTTTGTGGTTACAGGAAATTTTTTTGAGCGTTTTTATTGTGATTTTCGGAAATAAGCCCATATTTTGCATCGATTTAAGCACAAAGTCATTTTGCCCGGAATCCTCCTTTAATAAGGATATTTTCGACCGGTCCTTGCATTTTTTCAAGCCAACCTCCGACCAGCAGCATTCTTCTGAAACGAACGTTCTCACGGAGAGTACCTAATAGTACTAGAAATTAACTAACCGCAGAAGTAAATATTCATATCAATCAGTCGTGATCTGCAGCTATTCACCCGTCCCGACATCCCAGTGTTCCGCTTCAATCTGCACCAAACCTCCTTGTCTCTTTGGATTCTTTGGGTGTCGAGCTTTGTCTGAAGAATTCCGATTCTAACATCTGCGATTCATGTTTCAGCAATTTCTTCATACGAAAAACCTCTTGAAAGCCGTATTGTAAGCAACAGTCCTTACCAAAGAAGGACTGATAAACGTTACCTGCAACATACAATATTTAACAACACCCGATATCCGTGTAAACTCACCTATAGATATTTTTCAAAGTAATTCTTCTTTGTTATTCTGAGACACAGTAATCGTCAAGGGTTTGCTCATACACAATTTATCATCGTCTCAATCTCATCTATTTGAGCACGAAGCTTTGAAATTTGGCTTGTTCATCCCGAATAATCACTTTTGTATGAGAAAAGCCACTTCTGCTCCAGTGTTCAGTTTTCTGCCGGCTCATCGTGACAATATGACCAGCCTTTTTTCTGGTTGTGGCGCTCGAGCGATATCTTTTGCTAGCAATCCCGGTTCCAACGTATGTCTCCACAAGATGTCGGACATTGCTTCATTTTAACATCGCATTCTGGAGTTGGCTGCTCCTTCGACGGCTTCTGTTGTGGTTGGTGATGATAGCGCAACGTTTTGCAAACGACGGCTGACTAGCGTGATCTGAAACATACAATGCTGAACAAGATCCGTTAACCTGGAAAACTCACATATACACATTTGTTCAAGTAATTCCACTCCATTTCTCTAAATTGCAGTACGCTTCACTTGGCTATCTGGTAGTTGTACGTGGAAGAATCACGATTTTTCTTGACAAGCCGGTATAGTTTTGTTTTGTTAATCCTGAATAAGCACGTTTGATAGAGGATTGTGATTTATGATCCAGTGTCCAGCCTTCTGCCGGCACATCGTGGCAAAATGACGAGCCTTATTGTGGTTGTGGTGCTCAGGAAGAGAAAACAACATAGTCAGTTGGAGTATCAACGGAGTACCACATATCATCTTCCTACTGGTCCAGAAGTTGCCTTGAGCAGCTTGCCAGTACTGAAATTGTAAATTATAGAGTCTTTTGTGATAAAGATATTACTTTCGTTCGACCGCAATGCGCGTTGTGGCCAAAAATACAGTAAAAAACGCACCAAAATAAAGGAAAATCAAATAATTTTGAAATACTGTACCGAAGGCGCGTGAATTTGTTCGAAAACATTTTCCTAGTTATCAATGCTGATCTGACGACTGACTGTATTTTCGACCACAACGCGTATCGTCGTCGGACAATAATAATTAAAATTCTTACCTCCATGGGTTCTCGCCTAATAACTTTTTCCAGTTTTCACGTTGACCGTTTGATGTCCACGGGGTGTACTCAACAGAGAGGTGCTTGCGACTGACTAGTCCCTCTACTTGGCACCATTCCATCGCTAGCCGGCCCCGTCTGGCTTGTTGGTTCATTCAACAGAACTGCAATCGTTATTGTTGTTTTCCTCTCCGAAGGCGGAAGCATCACACGAAACAAACAAAAGCAAAGCTCTCTTCGGGTCGAAAACCCTACTTGATGCCCAAGTATCTCCATTCTGATGGTCTTGATCCCATAACCAAAGCGACAAGCATAGGAATTGATCGCTTCTATATGATAGCTGAGATTTTCATAACAGTCGAAGGCAATTTTGGCGTTTGCTTGGGCCTCGATGTCTCCTGATGGGACGGATTGAGTCACGAGAATCAGCAAAAGGATCCCTTGAAACTCCGTGACGTTCGATCATCGCGTATTTCAGACTAGGTTCCATGTCACAGCAAACTTCCACACAATGGTATTCTGAAACTAGAATCGATAATTTAACAGTTGTCTACCTTTGGTTTCCGTCACAAATGTTTGAATCAGGAAAATAAACACCTATTTGGCTTGAGAAAGGCTGTGGAAATGCTCACCATTTTCTCGCTGCTCATTGCACCGATTTCTTAGCGACTCTGGCAAAAACATTTTCTATTAGTTGTCCTTGTACGTGAAATTGTTCTCATAGCCTGAAAATAAACGTTTCAAGAGAAAAGTACATTCAAAAACTCACAAAAAAAATGTGTGTCATAATTTACGCCATGAAAATTTTCAAATAAAACAATAGGTTTTATTCAAAAAAGAAAATTATCAGAAAAAAAATACTTTTTTTATTGCAAAAACCCAAAGTGCGCCCACTTTTTTTACTGACGTCTTTCACGTGCGCATCACATAAAAGGAGGAGGCGCAGATAAAACCTTGACGCAGTTTCAGGGTGGTTTTTTTTGGTTTTTTTTTTTTTTTCTATGATTTTTGCTTTTTGAGCAAGTTCTTCATTGAATTTCTTTCAGGAAAGAATATCGAACGGATAAAATAGTTGCTTGCAAGCCAGAGAACAATTTTTCCATGCATCATAGTCATGATCTGGAGGAAAAATGATCAATAACGCCAGGTGAGTATTTTTATTTTGAAAATGTACAACAGAAAATCAAAATTCAAGGTGGCTGTCGTCTTTTAGGCGAAGATCGGCCAGATTTCGTTTGAATTTTCCGAGATGCGCTCGAAAACTGGCAAAATTTCGCTGAACTTTTAACCACAAAAACCGTAGCCGCAGCCGAAATTGCCATTCGAACACTAAATTTCACCCAAAAGTTTCCCACAAGAGACGACAGTCGCGCCTGATTACTTTTATTAGTTCGCATTTGAAACATGTCAAGCACAAATGATGACTTTGAAAACAAACACCGAAGTAAACGAAAACAATTGCAACCGAAAAAAATTCTGCAGGCTCTCACTACACCACGGAATAATGCAATCATAGGATTCATCAATTGGACGGAGGAGACTTGCTCATGGATCAAGACGAAATTTGGATTATATTGATGTTTCTGTCTGGCTAACTGAAATATGGAACATGAAGAAATGGAATTGGCAAAGAATCGCGTCAGCCGCTTGGAGATGCTCTGGCTGAATAAAGTTAGCGATGTGTAGTCCGTCTTGGATAAATGTTCAATTTGATAGGAGTTTGCTGGCGCAGAGACACGGTCATCGCAGTCAACATCAATTCAAAAAAGAGTTCAGATATCAGACTTTTGCTTGACTCGACACCTTGGAATGGCGAAGACTGAAAAATGTCAAAATAAGGCTAAGAAGAAAACTGAGACGACGGCAGCTCACCATGACAACGTTGGACATGACAAATTCAATTGAATCATTGATAGCTGTCGGTGGATATGGTCAATCAAGATACCACTGTTTTAAGAAAAAAGAGAGATTCTTCAGCGAAAACATCATCCCTGGTAAGTAGCATCCCTGAATCGTTATTATTTTTCTACTCAAAAGTTTTCAGCTCTGGACCTTTGCTTTTCCTACTTGTATGCTCTCCTCCTTGGTCTTGTTAACGTGCGTTCGTTTGTTCACTGAAAATTCCAAGCTTCTGGAGAGACGCAAGTCTTCGATGCGACGTCTGAAGCAGTAGTGTCATAACATCTTGACTTCTGCTACATCTTGAAATGGTGAAGACTGAAGACTATCCCATGCCGGCCGGCGGTGGTCAGACAACTAGAAACGATGACAGTTGACGGTGGATTTGACCAACCAAACGATCACTGTGCAAGAAAGCTAAATTTTTGGTGAGGAGGACTCCTTGGCAAAGAAAGTATCTCCTGGTGAGTAGAATCCTGAAACCGTTTCCCTTCTTTACCCAAAAATTTGCAGCATTGGAATCCCCGCTTCTCAATTTTTTGGAGAAGGTCTTGTACTGTCTGTTTCCTCTTTTCATGGACGGATTCTGACTTGAGGTTATTTTGGAGGATATTGATACCAAATAGAATTAACAGACTCTTCCAACTTGGCGATCGTCTGGAACACGTCATTGCAATTGAAGTCAAACTCGTCCTCATAAGTGGAGTTTGAGCAAACGTCAGCTTTATCAAAGATAAAACGTCGCAATATCATCAGAAACCGCAGCAAACTCCGAAATTCGATGATAAAATGAGAAAATTCCAATGCCTCGCGATTATCATGGAGACGTGCACTGGAACCGGGATTGTCAGCAGAAGAAGTCCGCTGGAATGGAAAATTACATCCACAGCGACGCAAAAACCACCAACACTCAAGGATTTGCGCTCCAAGAGACGAGATAGGAGTGACGATGAATTGCGGTGAAGGCAATAAAAAAGAATCATCAGACAAATGCGAACATGTGAGTTTTCAAAAATATCGGATCTTTTTCAACATTGTGAGTTTCAGGCCTCGCTTGTCATCCGTTGTTGGGCAGGATATGTTGGCTACTGTATGGTTTCCGGTGGATTTTGTGAATGAAGGATTTGCAAACCATCATTCCCGTCTAATACCACCTTTGCTCCGTATTGTGTGTGTGCGCGCACATTCACTCGTCAATTGTCTAACGACACTCCGGAATAACGGGGGCGCGCGTTCTTTAGCAGCGGAAAATTCGTCGACAACTTCACATTTTCTGGTTTTAGCTTTTTCTTTGTCAGAAGCTTCTGTTTCTCTTCACTTCTGAAATCGAAAACATGTAATCATAATTTTGGCGTTAAAGATTGGTTTTATTGCTGAATGGAGATGCTGGATATGGATGGTTGGCAAAAGAGTGTTGTGAGTTTAAAATTATCTGTGTTTCGTTCAGCATTATTATTACGATGTTCCAGGAAAAAGCACACGATTCCTAAAAAGGTTCATTGCGTGTTTGTGGAGATTATGAAACATGAATCGCGTGTGGGTGTAAAGAAACTCTTTGGACGAAGCTCAATACTGAAGGAATCCATTTGTGAGCGACACTATATGGTTATGATCGGAAACGGACGGCTTCAACACTGTAATGACACTCCTTACGCCATTCTGTTACTCAGATTTTCTTGAATAGTTTGGCGGTTAGTAAATTTTTGAAACAACCCGGTACTCTCCGTGATAAGATTGCATTACAGACACTCGATGACCTGGTGAATATGCTTTCGCGGAATCCCATTTTCGCGGAATCCCCGCCTAGCCAGCTTACAAAGTCGGAGACCGCATTTTTATTCCAACTCCAATCTAACTGACATACAGAAAAACCGATTTCATCGACTCCTCGATATGGAATTAAGCTGCAAAAACACACTCTCTGAATTGGTCAATCGCCTGAATCACATCATCGCAATCAAGGCCGGTGCAGACTTCATTGATGAAGCCCAAGCCAACGTCCGATTTATCAAGATTGAAACCCAGAGAAGATTCGTGCTTAAGGAAGAAGTATACTGAAATGCCAGAACTATTGAGTAGCTGCGCAGCTACTACCACATTTATATGAGAATCCCTAGCTTTTACTCCGAAATAAATCTTCTATTTATTGTTTTTTTTACGTTAAATTGCTTCAATTAGAGGGTGGGCTTCTATTTTTCGAAGCACCTCGCGGGATGGGCTTCTATTAGAGGTGGGCTTCAAATAGAGGTGGGCTTCAAATAGAGGTGGGCTTCAAATAGAGGTGGGCTTCTATTAGAGGAAATACGGTATACCAATATGGACGGAATAGGAGAAATACCTTGCGAAATGATCATGAATCAGCTGATGATAACCAAACATCTACTAAACTTCATACGAGTGCACACATCGTGCCTGACCATTTCTTGTACTGCGAAAATAAGTTTTCTGATCATTCGACACCGTCAAAAACCAATATTTTGGGTAATATTGGACCCTAATTATTCTAAAAGAATGATACAGCCATTTCTAATTATCATATAACCGCAATTCTGTATCACCTGAAGTAATTCAATTCCAGCGAGTTGTTCATCAACTTCCAAACTATCAACTCCAAAACTATATTCTAGTAAAAATTGTTTGTAATTTCAGCTTATCGCTTTCTGAATCTCCGTGGATTTTTCAAGAGATATTGGTTTAGGCTCATTGCTCATTTTTATCTGTCAATCTTGAATAACACATTCTTATCAAAGTATAAGATCTTTTGGATGGAGCCGATGTTCAAGTTGCTGATAAAATCTGTCTAGTGTGCACTTCGACCTGGAAATTTCTCTCAAAAAAGCTCTTGAAATTGACACTCTTGTTCATTTTGTCAATAAATTGTTACTATTCCCTCATTATTAATTTTATTTTGAGAGAAATTCGTTCGGCCGACAATTACGGAGCAGAGAGATGGAGTCTGTTTTCCAGGAGAGTACCAGATGGTACTCAGGAAATCATACTTTCTGAATCCTACTTTTGCCAGTCTAGACAACACCTGACTTGTGGATGATCATAAATCACGAGTCCCCCTAGAAAAGAATGCCAGTTTTTGTTGAAAAGACAATGCAAATTTAGGAGAGCATTGTCAGCCTTGCTTACTTTAGAGCTCATACATTAGAGAAAAGCGACATAGATTCTGATGGACCGAGTATAAAAACCCATCCAATTTTCTTAATGACTCATTTTTTCCAATTTTCCACCCACACTGTCTGCTTTTCAAAAAAGATTGGATGGATTTTTATGTTTTCATTTTGGCTCTGCACATTTAATCTTGCAAAATTGGAATTTTTAAATTCATGGTTCACATCAATTATACTGATAGTGTGACTATTTGATTTGCAAATGTGAGATTTTGTACATTTCTGACATTTGGGTGGTTTACTTAACATTTTGTGAATGTACACTGTCGAAAGTGTAACAATAGATAGTTAAGAGTCAGCATTTTTTTCCTTTCTTTCAAATTTTGCTCTCTGACACCACAACTTGTTCAGTTTATGTTGCTTTTATTTTTCACGATATTAATCTCCGAGCAGAAGTATTTCCAGTACTGGGAACACCAATTTTCAGATAATGATGTCGACACCATTCAACCGAATTCCTGCCGAAAGAGTTGGAGAGGATAGCTCATCTATCTGGTGAGTTATCTTTTTCATGCGAAATTTCATATTACTAAAATACCGTAAAACCTGTATTAGAAGGACCTTCGGGGATTCCACAATTTGGTAGAAATTTGTTGAAACTCTATTTTTTAAATAAAAAATTGTTTAATTTTGATGAAATTGACAGATTTTCATGAATTTTGAACGAAAATTTGTTGAATTTTTCGTTGAGAAAAATAGAAGGACCCTCCGGAGGTACCTTGAAAAAATAAAAGGGCCGGCCCTTCTAATACAGGTTTTACGGTATATACTGTATCGGTCAGTAAGATTTACAAAAGCGTATTTTTTAGTGGATTTTAGGCCATTCAGTTTATTTTAAGGAGTCTGGAGCTTGGCTGCCAAGTTTCCGATAACGGAAAATTTTGGAATTTGTAAAATATACCTAGATTGAAAACTTTGCATTCATATAGTTTTCAGAAATTACATAGTTTTTCAGCTTTACGCCGGTTTATGACAGACACCTATTTTTCCAAAATCGGCAAATAGCTTGAAAATAAGAAACTTTCAAAAACTCTGTGAATGCAAAGTTTTCAATCTAGGTCTGTTTTACAAACTCCTCAATTTTCATAGTGATCGGACACATGAGAACCAAGCTTCAGATTCCTGAAAATGGTCAAAGAATTGGTTGTGGACCAAACATAACTGAAAAATACAGTTTTGTGAATCTTATTAGTCAGTACTGTCAGTGAATTGTATAATTATGAATAATTTTCAGGGTGGACCTCAGTGCTCTCGCTTCTGAGAACAACGCCGTCAATCTTGGACAAGGATTTCCTGATGGACCAGCTCCCAAATTTGTCACAGATCAGCTCAAAAACGTCTCGAAGCACCCGGATCTCACTTGTGCTCATCAATACACTTCTGGATTTGGACATCCAAAGTTGGTCAAGGAGCTGTGCAAATGGTACTCTTATCTGTACCAACAACAAGTGGACGCAAAGACAAACATTCTGGTTACAGTGGGAGCCTATCACGCTCTCTATTATTCATTCCACGCATGGATCAATGAGGGAGATGAAGTCATTAGTAAGTTTTTTGCCCTATTTCGACAAAAAAGAAATTCTGATATTTCAGTCATCGAGCCAGCTTTCGATTGCTATGCTCCTCAAATCAAATTGGCCGGTGGTGTCCCAGTGTCAATTGTTATGAACTTCCCAGACGGTGGAACTGACGCTTCCCAGTTCACAGTCGATTTCGAAAAGATGGAAAGCAGCATCACGGAGAAAACCAAAATGATCGTCATCAACAATCCTCACAACCCCACTGGAAAGCTCTTCAGCAGAATGGAGCTTCTTAAAATCGCAGACATCGCTCAGAAGTACGACTTGATCGTTGTTGCTGACGAAGTATACGAGTTTCACTGTTGGGGTGTGCACAAACTGGTTCGATTTGGTGAGTTCATAGTATCATCGGGCCCCAATATAACTTTTAATCTTTTCAGCCAGTCTGCCTGGGATGTTTACTCGCACAATCTCTATCGGAAGTGCAGGAAAGATTTTCTCGATCACGGGTTGGAAACTGGGATGGACTATCGGACCACAACATCTTCTTGCTCCGCTCAAATCAATCCATCAGAATTGTACCTATGCCTGCTCCACTCCGACTCAACTTGCCGTCGCGATGGCATTCGAGATGGAATGGGAGACATTCCATGTCAAGCCTCACAAATCTTATCTTGGAGGATATTTGCCGGAGGAACTTGTGAAAAAGAGTAAGAAGCTCCAAAAGATGCTCGTGAAAGCTGGATTTGCTCCGATCTTGCCCCAAGCTGGCTACTTCATGCTGGCAAACTATACCCGTCTGAATACTGGTGAGTTTTTAAACTCATTAAGCTCAGAATAAAGAGTAAACTAGTATTTTTCAGCTTTCAAAACTTCGGAAGAAACTGAAGAGTTGGATGATTACGCATTCACCAAATGGCTCTGCACGGAGAAGAAGTTGGCAGTGATTCCGTTAACCGCCTTCTTTGCCAACAATGAAGACAAGATGAGAAACACTTCATTCGTCAGATTCTGCTTCTTCAAGAAGGACAAGACCCTCAACGACGGCAAGAAGATCATGAAGAATCTTTCCAAGTGACTGTATCACAATCATCAACTCTGTGAATTTTATAATAACTTGTACAATTGATCATTCTGTCGTAATCTTCCCATCCCTCTTTCTATTCATTCCGAGATTTGCCTAGAACTACACTACCTAGATCTCAGTTCTCGGAATATCAATAATCCATTATAGCAATCTTTCTACCGTATTTCTCTTCATCCACTTTGCCTTCAATCCTGCCTTTTGAAGAAAACTATTCTATGTGTGTCCTGACTTGATAATTAAATTTTGAGAAATGTCTGAAATTTGAAATTTAATCAAATTCTGAATATATTATCCTTGTCAGAGAAAAAAAAG